TTTATGGATGATAATGGGATAGTAGCCCCGCCTGCACTAACGGTATACGCTGGCGGGGCACCAGTGAGGGATGATAGGTGAGGATAAAAAGGCAGGTCAGTTAGCCTATCGTGATGAATACACCTGGAATTCAGCACGATAGTTTCCAGGGAGACCTTGTGGAGATCGACCTGACAGGGTATTATATTGCTAGCAATGGGACTGATGGGTACGCATTACTAACAATCCCTTCCTCTCAGGAAACGTTGTAATATTAGAAAAAGAGAAAGATGAATAAATATATATGGAGAGAACCGTGCCTGGAAGTGGAACCTTAAATTTTGACGTAATAATGACGGCAATGGGGGTGATAGCATCAATTTTTCATATGCCAAATACAAAGTTATTAAGGTTTCTTTGGGGTCCACAATGCTCACGTGACACACCTAGTCTTGCAGTCGTCGATAGACTACAGTGACTGTTTACCATCAGAAAGAGTTCAGAGGAAATTTGCACGTGTTCTATATAGTAAACTTTAAGGCCACTATCCTTATTTGTACCTATCACTGTTCGTTTCCGGTATGGTAGGTCTAGAAACGCTCGAAACGAAACGAAAACGGCGAAAGTGTAATTTGATGATGCACTATTATCGGTTGCTCAACGGCGGAATAGATAATCCTGCAACTCTTAGCCGTTCTTTGTACGCAGCCCAACGCTGCATGCGATTGCGTGCTTGTCGACTACTATCGGCACCGCCGGTTCGCACCTGTACTGCTCAGTTTGCTCCCACTTATCAGGCTATTTCTCTGCTCAGTTCTCTGATTGCTCAGCAGCCAGATAATGACATATTTAATGACAAAATAGATATATTTTTAAAATGTTGTACAAAATTTGTAAGTTTGTAAAATAAACCTATGGCTCACTACACGTTTTGGGAACCTGTAAGTATGGTGAGTAATTTTCAAATAAATAAATAAATAACAGACGGGCCGTATGCTTGCTTGTCACCTTAGTGGTATAAAAAAAGTGGGCATTTAGTAACAATTGAACAAAAATTAAATAAAAATGGGTGAGACCCCCCCCCCCCTCTTTATTAAAACGAAAAAATCTATTAGCATTTAATAAAATCATGACCTAAATAACATTTCTTACCATTTCAATTTTCCGGACTAAAGGGTGGGCGCTCCTTCGCCACGCGTCTTTGTAATACGCCCCCCACCCCTTGCGCCGCCAGCCCCCCACGCCCCCCATTCCACCATTGTCGCACGGCACACAAGCTTTCAGAGTAATGAAGAGCATTTTCGTCCGATTCCGAACACAATGCCAGCTCTAATACAACGCACAGAGAGGAAACTTCTTTGTTGCTACCAGTATTGTGCCTAACGTGTGTGTTGTAACATGCGCTGTTGTTTTTTGTTTTGTTTATTGTTTGTTTTTTGATTGTTTGCGACAATGGTAGGTATAGGTAATGTAAAAGATCGGGGAACGGTTTCACTCGTACTACTTGAGTAAACGATTGTAACGTTTTTTTATGATACGAGATACTAAAGTATGTTAATGCTATTAAAAAAATTATAATAAATATTATTATTATCATCATTGTCTCATCATCATCATCGTTATATCTGCCGTTATCTGTCCACTGCTACCCTGTATAATAACATGTGTATATATATATATATATATATATATATATATATATATATATATATATATACGTGACCTATGAACGCTTGTCCTTGTAACACCATGGATGGCACGCGCCTGTTGTCGATCCTTAAGAAAGACTTATCAAAGAACCCTTTGCTGTAGTCTCTAAAAAAGCCGCTTTACATAAATCGTAATTACTCCGTATAACCTTTCGAATTTAATAGGCATGTCGCGCTGAGAGCAAAGTATTGACGGTCCAGAACAATTTCATAGGCGGGTTATACAATATGGATAATACTATCACAGTATAAGGAATTAATTTCAAATGAATTATAAGTGGTGTCACAATAGATTTCTAAGGACTATAGACACTGTAGGAACCTCCTTACACTGTGGTACTATGATTAATGTAAAGGGTGGTTAATCCCTCTCCCGGACTTCTCCATCCATAGATTTTTCTTTGCATAATTTTTTTTATATAATATATTCTCTTATCTTTATTTTTTTTTTGTGAAAGTTATTTAATATGCATACCCATTTATTAACTTATCAGTTGGCTAATATCTCTATCGGAGTAACGGAGACATACTAAAATACTGTACTCATTGGCACTTTTTTTTAAATTGTCTATTGTATTTTTTTTTTCGGCAATCAACCCGGATTTTATTTTTTATTATAATCTAAGTCATAATATTTTTTTTCATATACGATCATTTTCTATCACCTGTTCGCTACTTTAATTAAAATAAAAATAAAAAATCAAAAGCAATTAATACCAAGAGGCACTAATTTGATACCTATTTCTATACCACGGCAGGAGCATTGTCCAGTGTTGCCAGCGGCGGTATTGTTTTCTGCCGCACAGTGGAGCTGTAGGAAATAATTATTGTATAGTGGCAACACTATAGTGCCAACACGTGTTCTTTGTAGTTCTATTGATAACGGCACTATTAATTAAACTTGGAATAATATTGTTATTATGAATATAAGTTTATTTCTTTTGATGGCATCGATTTTTTTTATTGTTTCGTTTATTCTATTCATATGAAAGATTTTAAAATAATCATGACTTTGCTTTGCAAAAAAGAAAAAAATAAATAACCTCACTCTTAACTAATTAAATAATTATAATTAATCTATTCGCCATATGGTCCCGGCATAGAACAGACCACCCCTTCCTTTCCCGTGGGTGTCGTAAGAGTTGAGTAAGGGGAGGCGAGAGATGGGCAGCAGCGTCCTTCTTAAAACATCTTTAAAAGCCTAACCCGTCTGCCAAGCGTGGCAGTTACTACAGTTACGTGGCAAAACTCCCCTTACGGGGAAAGCTTATGTCCAGCAGTGGACAGTTAACGGCTAAAATAGTAATAAAAAATAATAATTAACCTATTTTATTTCAGTCATTAACGGTTCACTTCTGGACATAAGATCCTCCACAAAGGGTAGTTTTGCCAGTACTGGCCACGCAGGTTAGCAAATACAGTTAGACTTTTAGAGATGTTTTAAAAGGGACGCTCCTGCCCATTCCTCCACCATTAACTTCTCTTAGTCGTCTCTTACGACACCCACAGGATGAGAAGAGGTGATCTATTCTACGCCAGGATAACACGGTCAATATTAACCTATCTAATAACAATTAACCTATTTAGACTGCAAAAAATAAAGCGGTTCAGAATTGGTTAAAATATTTTGTAATATAAAAAAATCCTTCATTTGAAAGTCGCTTAACAGTATCTAGTGGTTATTGGTGAAACTTTGAATTAATATTTATAATTCATATTATTTAAAAGAAATATAATTGAAAAGAAGATATCCTTTCATGAAAAGTTCGTTCGGGAGTTATAATGAATTAAAGACTTCAAATTTCTAAGACAACCCTTTTTACATCAGAAGTTAAAAGTAAGCAAGAAAATTCAACGGAGTCCCCCACTTATGTCCCTTTTTAAATACATAGAACCAACACATAACAATATTAATAACAAACGAAGATTTTCAAATAGCAATTACCATCACAATTATATGACAACATTGTCTTGTGGATAATTGACAAAGGCTGCAGAAAACTGTTCTTGCCACTGACGACATAGAAAACATTGTGTTAAACAATGTCTCGAAACCATTGCTCTAGACAACTGACAGCCGTACACTATACGATTGATGGAAAACGGGTGTATTTACATGCTATTCATTCATTATCCATTGTTGAATGTAAGACATATGTTTGTTTTAAACCCCCCTTTGTTTTGAATGCAAATCGAGTTGTTACTCAGAATCGTTGTAATATTATACATAGATTTTTCACGCCTAGTCCCGTGTCAGAGAAATGGCTCGGCGAAAATATATTATCCCACTGTAATTTAAGATGGATCTTTTAAACGTGAAACTGATTTATTTTTCTCTTTAACTTTCATTTAATTCAAATAATCTTTCAGAAGAAAATAATGTGAAAGAGCAAAACATATCGTTCTTAAAATATCGAAACTAAGTTTGAGGAAATAAAGAAGAAATTTCATTTGGAAAACTCAACCATCGCGCTATGACAGAGCGTCCGTTATATGTATTATTGTCGTAAATACACGATCCTTATCATCTATCGACAATGCCGAAACCCTCCACGAAGTATCGACAGAATAATGAGAAACCGGGAAAAACTTCTGTTGCGGAATGAAAAGCGCAAATTCGTCATTAGGCGGCGCTTTCCGCCATTGTTGTTGCTGTCCCCGTCTCGTTTACTAGACGCTGTGCACGCAAGAAGAAGACAACAGACGGTCCTCCGAGCCGGATTGTTCCTTTCTATGTTGGAGACATTGTTTTCGCTTTTATGCCCGCCTGAATCGGGATTGTCTTGTCTGTTTGAATGGACGGTGGCGCCCCTCTACCGTATCAATACAGCCTTCTATAAATGTAGGAAAACAAAGGGTTGGTCTTTTGAATCGAGCTGGGAGACAGGTCGTTCGTGCCTTCGATTATATTGTATCGATTCAATGCCATTGTCTCTGCAATGAGGGATGGTTAGAGCAAATTACTTTTCTGTTTTTGTATCTATTTCCTAAATAGCTTGTGACAGGTGTATATTGTTTTGTTACAAGGTAAACCGATATGTGAACGTTTGTTTAGTCAATTTTCCTATATGATATACATTATTACTTACCGCATATGTACTCGTATTTGGTTTTTGACAAAAAAAACTTTTTTTTTTTTATTTATAACAGTGATTTTAATAAATATTAAAAAATATTATTTAAGCTGTTTTTATTACGACCACTCGCTCCAATTTTGCTTAAATATCCCCTATGTGTAGACATTGTCTAGTTATATTTTATTATATTAGTTAGCTAAGGATCAAAATAATGATTATTTATCTATATTTTCAGGGGCAGAATGGAAGCTGTTAACAGAAGATGAAAAGCGGCCATTTATAGACGAGGCCAAGCGACTCCGGGCTATGCATATGAAGGAACACCCAGACTACAAGTACCGGCCTAGAAGGAAACCGAAGACCTTGAGAAAAGAGGGCTATCCGTATTCAATACCATACCCCAGTGTGCCGATGGACGCCTTGAGAGCTGGTGAGTTATTGTCTTTATCTATACAGTATGTTAATTAACGTAGCCCATTCCTTAAACCTGGTTTCGGTATTTATTAATAAGGTCTGAAACATCCTAGAAGAATATATATTACTAGAAAATAAGAAAATAAATTAAAATAAAAAAAAATTCTCCACGCGGTACCACTATGGAGCCACGGTTATTTCGTGGTCAAATACGTCACGATTGCAGCATATAGAATTGTGAGTTCGGCGAGGCAGCAGTGAGAGATGACAGGTGCGGATGGAAGCAGGTCAGTTAGCCCATCGTGACGAATTTGACAAGAATTAATTATGATGGTTTCCATGGGAAACAGCGTGGAGGTGGAGCTGATATGGTATATTGCTAGCAATGGGGCTGCTACTCTCTACTACTAATAATCCCTTTCCCCCAGCCAGCAAATACCGATAGCGATTTACCATTCCCATTGCTGGCAATATACCCTATCAGGTCGATCTCCAACGTGGTCCGCCCTGGAAACCATCGTCTTGAATTCCAGGTGTATTCATTACGAAGGGCTAACTGACCTGCCTTTTTATTTTCACCTATCATCTCTCACTGGTGCCCCGCTAGCGTATACCGTTAACGCAGGCGGGATTACCATTCCATTGATTATTATTAAGAAAAAAATTATACTATAAAGAAAAAAAAAGAACAGGCAGGGTTACCACTTAATTAGCATTAACTGTAAAACTCTACTGGTCATTGTTTATCACGAATGCCACTTGGGACACCCATGGGTCCTGTCGTCACCAACAATTACTAACCCACCTGCATAATCGGTAGAAATTCTTACAATACATCTACAATGTTCTATCGCAATTTAGTTTTTATCGTATCACATTAACGCGTCGGCAATTTCGGGCAAATTTCCATTGTTGTGGCAACACTCGCGCCGGCCCGTTTTAGGATTCCACATATTTTTAATTAATTACAAAAAGAAGCAATTTGGATTTTTTAGAAGCGTTACGTGATATATTTGTCAAATTTCAAAGTGAATATTTTTTTTTGGAAATTTTGTCTGTCAGTTTACCTATACGTTCGTTTCTGTATCACACAAAAACTACTGCACCAAATTAGATGCGGTTTTCACAATTGTATTCTTGAAGGTCTTACTTTTCCATTCGTGTTTCAACCGTAAAGCAGTTATGTTTGCATGGCTGTGTTTCGGTTTGAAGGATGGGATATGACGTGAATTTACCAGGTACGGAGGAATAACACCTGAATCCTCAGGAATGGCAACGCATGGGGGGTATCATGGGCGAAACAGTATACTCTGTTATGTCCATGGTACTGCTCATATCTATAGGCGACGGTTACCACTTTCCATCAGGTGGGCCATCAGATTGTTTGCCATTCTAAGTTGTATAAAAAAAAAAACTAAAATCTGATGTATGTGTTATCTTGATATATCGTCTAATTATGATTTATTTCATTAGTATTTCTACTTCTGAAATCCACGCGAGTACAGTAGCGCTCAAAAAGTCAATAGTAAGATAAAAAATAATACTGAACCCTCTGGTTGTAAATGTCACTCGCGCTTGTCGCTTTTTTGACAGTGCGCGCTGTCATTACGCGTTGTAAAACCGAGTTGATTGTGTTGCCATTAACAGTTCTGTGTATTAGTGTATTATAAACTATAATAATACGTGTATAACTAATTAAACTGTGTGTCATATTTTTTAATTTTTTTTTTAAATTCAAATTTCGATTTCGTATGGACTGGTGTTTTTTTTTTAACAATGATATTTTCGCCAATTCTATTTTGACGAGTCTTATTTTACAATTGATACTCTCGTGTTGATATTATACTGATTTTATTGTAATTGTTGTCATTTTTTGTGAAATATTCTGTGGTTTCTGCCTACCTCGACAGGAGGAAGGCGTGATGTATATGTATGTATGTATTTATGGAACAATAGCTTAAATAATATTAATTGCTTTTTATTAGAACTGGGAGTGTCATTCTATTTACTACGTTATCAGAGAGTAACATTCATCATCATCATCATCATCGTATCAGCCGTTAACTGTTCATTGTTGAACATAGGTCTCACCCAAAAAGGTGAATTTTGCCTATAGTTGCCATGCTTGGCAAGCGGCTCGGCAGTTAGGCTGTGGTGATGTTTTAAGACGAACGCTGCTGCCCAACCCTCGACCATTAAGTTCCCTTAGTCGCCTCTTACGACACCCACGGGAAAGGAAAGGGTGACCTATTCTATGCCGGGACCAAACGGCAAATTCTCTTTTATAATATTAGTAAAGATTTAAAAACATAAAAATAACCTCAGAAGTAATCACAGAGTAGATAAGTACAGATACGACAATTGATATTGATATTTTGTAAATTATACCTATCGCTATTATAGATACCGTTAGAGCAAATACAGCAAATCTTTATAACAAAAGTTTGTATAAAAATAACGTGAACACAAAAGGTCCATTGGACGTTATCAAGCTATTCATTGGATGTCATCGGATCTACCATGTTATTGTGATTACACAACCGCGGTGCTGCGTTTGAACTGTTGAGCCAGTATTTCGTTTAGTGACAGTAATGGCATTGCTTTTGGTATAGCATTATTAGGTAACAACTGAGCTTTACCAAGTTAACTATAAGCCAAATTTGTATTACTTAGTGTTTTCAATTTGTCATAGATTATATATAGAATAGTGACGCGCGGCCAAATGTGCAGTATTAAGCGTTTTTTATAATAATTTCTAAGTTTTTTTATCTTAATTGAATAAGTGATAACGTATTAGCACTCTACAAGTTAATCAATACACAATAATTAGTAACTTTAATTTGAATTACAATTTGTGGATTAAAAAATTTACTACAAATATCTTTTGACAAAAAAACCTAAACATTACGTATTTCAAACCTAACCAATTATAACAAACATAAAAGAAAAAATTCTTTCTTATTTTATACCTACTTGTGAATTATACAAAATCTCGTAATATTATTTGAAATTAACCATTTCAAATATACTTGAATTGTTTACTGTCACTTGTTCTTTATTGTACATCAGTTTAGTAGTTACACGAGAGAGCTTTCCCGTTCAAACGAGGCGTACAGGTCACTCGCCTCACTATGCGACAAAAAGTCCGCCCACAGTCACGATTTTTTGTCGTGATTCCTTAAGCGAAGCCCAAATTTTTACACGTAAACTTTATGAAAAAAAAGATTGTTTTACAATCAAACTTGTTATTATTATAACGGTCCGGTTAACTGGAGTCTATCAAACATTATTGTAACCGTTTGATGTTAATATCGCTATTACGTTATCGTTTGAGAGTTTAAAAGCGTTAATCGACAAGAATTGTCGTTTATCTCAATGGCGATATGACCTGTCGTCATCGCCTGTCGCTAGTAAGCACACAATGATTAATATCTATTACGTATGCATAAAATCTGATATCTATGTATTGGTTTCCTCTGAACATTGATGGCGGAAAAAGGTTTTCCCATTCCCATATCACCCATATCGACCAGATATCTATTTTCGAATACGCTAAAAAATCTGTTATCCAATGTTATTTTTTGAATAACAGACTTAAGGTATTCGTTATTAAACAAATTAAAACCTTTATTTTGAATATGGGTTGATATGAAAATGATGATGTATTGGAATGATCGATCAATTGATCACTGAGTCTTGTTAATTCGGTTCATAATATTAGCATTATTTATTTATTTATTTGACATTAGTAACATTGTGGTAGAGTTTAACACTGCTAGTATTCGTCCATCAATCCGCATCAGAAAGGTCATCTTAAAAGTCATGCTCTCAGTACCCACTCAATGTTGAAGCCCAAATCCATCATCCATATTATAAGTCAACCAGCTGCAAACCTTGGCATACGCGAGCGTACACCAAAAGCGCAAACGCAAATGCTTGGGAACTCAAATCCAATACATAGCACAAAAAAAAAACTGAACTGTTATTTTGGGGAAGTTTATATCACTAATTTTTGGATCAGAACTATTTTGTTTAATCCCCCGTATTCCATTAGTATGCGTGCGCCTGCGTAATACTCGAATATTGACAAATATTAATACTACCATATTAGTTCCATATAAGCCACCAATCTCCGACTTCTATTCAGTCCACGCACGTTTTGCGACACATATTTCACCTATAAACAAAGCGTCTTCAGGCAAATCAATAGATTGCTGCACAGTGCCTTGTAATGGGTATCGGAATTAAACAAAATAATTTTAATCAACTAACCAATGATCCTTCTTATGGTAGAGGCCTATCTTCAGTTGACAGATTGTTTAAGTTACATGTAAGTAATTTTTATGCGGAACTACATAGAGAATCTGATGAAAATAAGTATTTATACAGCACTGTGTTATGGGTTTTAATAAATTCTCATCGCTGTACCTTTACCATAATACGTTCCCGAAAATAGACTTATCACTATTACCCCTAAAGGCGGACATTTCATACATTGAGTGACATTGCAAACGCTATCATTCCTTTATGCCTACCAAATAAGGCGCGCCTCACATTGTGCCACCCTTGTCGCTAGACGCTCATGCTAACAAAAGATTCAAAACATGAAAAGCGTTCGAAAATGGAACGAATAGTTTAAACCGTCTTGGCTGCTTTTGACAGTTGACAGTTTTAGCTGTCAATGCGTAAGCGACAATGGGGGTTAGTTAGGGGTGCGTCAAATTTCACGTCCGTGGGGTTAGACTATTGACATGCGATTACAAATATTGAAAGTTTTTGAAGGGCAGTGTTGTGGGTTGTTATTGAATTTTTAGGGGGTCGTTTAGGCTATCAATCTCATGATGTTGTTTACGTCAATTTGTCTTAGTTTCGATATAAATTGTGTTACCTTGTAGGAACTTTTTGTAAGTTTTTGCTTATACAAAAACTTACTGGTTAGCTTATTGATAAGGCTGTTTACAACACCAAATCACTCGCCTCAATTGATTTAGTTACTGTTCAATGTGAGTAGTTTAA